AATGAAAAGCATCTAAATTGGAAAGAAGAGTAAAGTTATCCCTATTTGCAGATAACATGATCTAAAGGCTAAAGGCTTCACAAAAAACCTGTTAGAACTAAAGTGAATTCAGTAAAGTTGCACAATACAAAATCAGTGTACAAAAATCAGCCACATGTCTTTATACCAATAAAGAACTATTTGAAAAAGAAATTGAGAAAATAATCCCATTTATGATTTTTTAAGGCTAAGTTCACCATCAAAAAGAATAAAATATCTAGGAATCAATTTAACCCAAGAGGGTGAATGATCTGTATACTGAAACATATAGTAATCTTTGAAAGCTATTTTAAAATCTAAAGTTGGGCCAGTAACTGAAATACTTGTACACAATGATTATTGCTCTTTCTTTTTTCTTGTTTGCATAATTTTGAAAGGATTTTAAAAACTCACTTTCAGGTACTTATAACTACATGGCTATATAATTCCTGAGTGTACATAATATTTATTGATTTGAAAAAATTATCAGCTTTTCTTTTTTTAGGCAATATCTGAGAAGCAAAATATTAATTGATTTCTCATTATTCAAGGTTAACTTTTAAAAGATGTCTTAGTTGAAGCTATAAGAGCAATAGCAATCTGCCTCAGGCTACTTCAGTACTATGGAGACTAACAGGGATGCCATCTGGTTATTTACAGGGCATTCCAGAATATCACTGCGCCCTGATGTAAGATAGAATCTAAATTTATGTTGAATGTCACTATGCTTGAGAGATTTTTAGCACTGTACTATCTTAGTCTACAGTGATTTCTAGAATATCAGTTTCCTGAAAAAATTCTGATGGTTATTAAACGGCATTTAGGAAAAATTATTTGCAACTTAAAATGCCAATTGCTTTGCTGTTCACACAGAAACAGCTAATAAAATTTGGAGATAATTTTATATGTATAGAATACTTGCAAAAAAAAAAAATGGTACAAAAAACACCTGCATATTCTTTACCTAGGTTCACCTAATGTTAACATTTTACCCCATTTACTTTATTTTCTGTTCTCTTTTTTTCTCTATATACATATGCATGTTCTTTGTCTTTAATGACATCAATATTTTTGAAGAATGTAGTGCCTCTCCTTATTTTTCAATTCTTAGAATTTTTAAAAATTGAATATAATTAATATTGAATATAATTAATATAACATGCTATTCACCTCTTTTAAGTCACAATTCACCTTTTTAAAGGTTTTGATACATTCATAAGATTGTTCAACCATAACTGTGATCTAATTCCAGAACATTTTCATCACCCCAAAAAGAAATCCTGTACCATTTAGCAGTCATTCCTCATTCCACCTCTCCCCCAACACCTGGCAACCAGTAATCTACTTTCTATCTCTTTTGATTTGCCTATTCTGGACATTTCATATAAGGAGAATCATAAAATATCTTACCTTTTGTGTTTGGCTTCTTTCACTTAGCTTAATGCTTTCAGGGTTCACCTGTGTTGTAACATAAATTGGTACTCAATCATATTAAGTGTTAAATAATATCCCACTGACTGGATTAACAATATGGCTGAATAATATTCCATTGTCCATACAGTTCCATTGTCCATACTCACTGTCTGATGGACATTTGGGTTGCTTCCACTTTTTAGCTATTATGAATAATGCTGCTATGAACATTAGTGTATAAGTTTTTATGTGAACATATGTTTTTAGTTCTCTTGTGCTGGGTTATGTGGGTCAAGTAAAATTGCTGGATCAAGTTAAACTCTGTTTGGCTTTTTCAGGAACTGCCCACTCATTATTTTTAGTTTCTGTCCTGAGAAATTTTTCTTCCTCTTTTAAAATTCAGGACAGTGATTCTGGGGTTGGGGTGGTGGGTGCTTTTTTCAACTTCAGATGTCCTTCCAGAAATTTAATATTGAGGATAACTTCTTTAAAGCCTGGCACAGTGCTCCTATCTTGACTTGAAAATGAAATACTAAGATGAGCTGACCTAGCAGAATAGTTCTTTTCATTTTTTAGTGGATTTCAATGCTTTCAGTTTTCTATTTGGTCCTATAATTAGATTGTTGGCAACCTTAGTAGTTTTAGGAGATAGAAGTGTTTTCTAATTGAGATGTTACATATCCTTACCTAAAGGTTTACAAGGAGAACTGGGAATCCATTCAACAAATAAGGATTTTTTCATCTTTTAAAAAGCTGTGGAGAAAGTGACACTAAATGTAGCATTAGTCATATTCCTTTAAATGAGAGAAAATGCAAAAATAAATATTGTTAGTATAATTATTTTTTACTAATAAAATTTGTTTAGATATTATTTTCATATCTATAATAACTGCTTGTTCTTGCCTGATGGGAAAAAAAATGAAAAAATTGAATTTTGATGTAGTTCAAGCATCTTTAATCATAGATGAGAAGATCTTTAAATATCTTAAGAAGCTAAAGAAATACAAAATTCAGTCAAGGGTAAGAGTTGGGGTAAGTGTTAACAGAATTCTGTGAGTATTACAAAAATTTAGTCACATTTAAGTTAAATCTAAGGGTATAGGCTACAAGGACTGTGAGATCAACTTTGTTTTTAAGTGATGAAGTCCTTACTAAATACAATAAATATTAGAGTCATTGAGAAGGATCCAGGAATGTCCTGGATGAAATCTCTTAATAATAAAACTTTGATCAGCTGAAATGATATTACCAAAATGTCTTGGGATGATATAACTGTTTCAGTAAGGGGTATGTTACTTTTAACCTTAGGGAGATTTAGAATTGAGTATAAAAATATTTGAAAATCAAACTCATAGAATTAATAGTTTTATGCTAAAGAGGCATTATATATTTATTTTATATACTTGTAAACTAGCCCATACATGCCAGTCTTCTAATTTCATTTTAAAATTTGTAATTCATTTATAATTAAGTAATTTATTTATTCTTGTGATTGTTAAATAAAAATCTTACCAAATTTGTATGTGTTATATGAGTATTTATGAAAACTTAAGTCACCATATTTATACATTTAATTTATTAGATTTATACAGATTACTTTAAATACCTGGAAAGTTTTGTGAGATAAGCAAAATGTCTAAAGTAGATAGAATATCTCAGGGTATTTAAGTTTGGAAATCAGACCAAATATTATTCCAAACTCTTAAATATAATTTTTGTTGGATGCTAGATATTGTGAAAGTAATGTTGTTAAGTGCTTGATTATTTTGTTTTTCTTTACAGAGTGATGGATTTTGTTCTTGTATGCAGTTATTTATGAATTAGCTTGAGCTTTACAAGGCTTGCTTTTAAGCTTTATTGGGGCAGATCTAGAGCAGACATTACTCTAGGGGTAGCCCTACTACTAAGTCATGTCCTTTCTCGGATCTCTTCTGAATGCTCTCAGTGTTCAAAGAGGTGGGTTAGACATTGAGTGACTTTCAGCCTTTTGTAAACTCTGGGACTTTCCCAGCTTACAATTCTCCGGTTATTCTTGGCCTAGCTTTGTGGAGTTCACCCTATGCGTGTGTGTCATGCATTCAGTTCTCAAGCTCTCTCTCTAATAGCTTCCTCTTCTCCAGTGTTCCACCCTATAAATTCTTGCCTTCTCAGCCTTACTCTGCCAGAATTCTCCTCCCTGAGTTGTGGTCTATAGGTACCTTTAGTCAGAAAGCTGGGGCTGTTTTAGGGTTTATTTCATTTCTTTCCCTTCTTTCAGGAATCAGTGCAATGCCTGTTGTCTAGTGTGTAAAAGCAAATTAAGACACACACACACACACACACACACACACACGTCTTCTAGTCATTTCTGAAAGCAAATTTAAAATTTTGTTTAGAGATGGAATATATCATGTCTATAAACAAGACAAATGGCCACACCCAAAGGCATTGAGGCACAGAAATATACTCTCTTTGTGAGAAATTATAACAAGAATGGGGAGAGAATGAATAATTGTGATCAAAGACGACAATCTACCACAGAGAGGTATAACAAAGTCCTGGCAATCTGTTACCCCAATGTTTCCCAAATAGTAAGATGTTAATAATAGTGGCAATGATGATGATGATGGTGATGATGTTGTTCAATTAATAAATAAAATATTGTAGGACTTATCTCATTTTTGTGCGCCACAGCACTAATCTAGTTAACTTACATGTATTAATTCTCTTAAGACTCATAATAGCCCCATGAGATATTATTATTATCATTTTATAGATAAGGAAATTGAGGTTAAATTTCTTGTCCAGGGTGTGTTGTAAAACTCAGGTGTGAAACTATATAGTCTGGCCAAATTATAGTTAGTACAGTGTACTTATTCCATCTTAGCGTAATAAAGATTCTGAGTAGTTCTGCAGTGAAGAAATTTGTGTAACTTTATTAAACTTAGTTTTTCAATTTTATTTTGGAGCTTGGATGTCTATTATCAGTTGATGTGCCAATATTCCATGGAATGCATGTATTATAAGATCCTTGTGGACAAAAACAATATCCTATTTAACTTTATAGTTTAGAGTTAAGAGCACTAACTTTGGTGTCAGATATGTTTTCTCTCAACTCAACCTGTGAATATTTCTTCATTGTATTCTTAAGCTCCTAACCTTCAATTTCTTCATAAAATGGAAATTACAGTATCTACCTTATACTGGTGGGGACAATTAAATGAGATAATGCATATAAAGTATTTAGCATAGTACTTGGTAAATAGTAGGAGCTAAATAAATGTTCATTTTTTTACTGTTGTTATCATTATTATTGCTGCTATTCACAGGTAGGTCTCATAGCTATTTCAATAAGTGTTTATTGAATTAATATGTTAGTTTTCAGTTACATTATTTAATATTTTTACCTGATCTACAGTGCTAAATTTTTTTGAAATTTGTAGGAAATGTATAGCATGCTAATATGTTTGATAGCATCGTATCTTCTGGTAAACTTTTATTCTTAATAGAAATTTAGATTTGCTACATAGAAGAAAGGTTGAAATGTTGTCTCTCTCTCTCTCTCTCTCTCTTTTTGTTTTTAATTTTAGAGACCTATTACTACATTTCTCCATTAGTTGGTGTCTTTTTCTTGGCTCTAACTCCTATCTGGATTATAATAGCTGCTAAACATCCAGCCACAAGGACAGTTCTCCACTCAGGCTGGGAGCCTGTTATAACAGCTATGGTTATAAGTAGGTTAGTATTAAAATATCTGTGTGTGTGTATTCTGTATGCATGTATGTATGTGCATATTAAAACAAATCATCTCCCTGTTTTTATTTCTTGGGTTAATGATTTTATATAGTCAATTCATTATTTTCCCAGGTAATAATGGATCTAAGCAACAGGAGTTATTAAAATTTGTAGGCGTACAGAACCTCATTTGGCTACCAGTTTCAAACTTCTCTGCAAACAAAGCCTTACCAGATTGTTAGTAACATTTAGTGGTATTTGTGTTTGTGTGTGTGTGTGTGTGTGTGCGCACATGCGTGTGTTAACCTGACAAGGACATTGCTTGTTTTGAATAGTTAAGTCGCTTGGATAAGTATCAGAAAGCCTTAGAAGTGTATATACCATTTGACTACTTCCACATCTAGGACTCTGACAGACTTAAAGATACAATTAAGGATGAATATAAAATATTTAGTTGTAAACATCCTTATCACATGGAGTTTTAATAATAACAACAACAACAAAATAAAATAACTTAAAGGTCTAGCCATCAGGTATTTAGTAAATAAGTTGTGGTATAGTCACAAAATGGAATATTAATTTGCCATTAAAATAACATTGTAGCATTTCTATTGCTATGGAAAGATGTTCATTATACATCTGGTGAAAAGAGCAACTTAAAAAGGGTATGAATTTCCTGTTAAACATGATAGATTAAGGCACATTTATTTTCCTACTTCCTGAAACTACTAAAATGACAGTGATGAAAGTATAAAAATGCTATAAAACCACAAAGACAGATGGGGAGCAGAGAGGACAGCAGTGAGAGAGTTGTCAAAATTAGGAAGGTAGGAATTAGATGGATGGTTGTTTACTGAACGAACAGAGTGAAAAAAAGCTGAATCCTAACTGCCTATCAGAAGCAAGCTGATCTGAGCATCAGAAACCCAGAAAGGCAGAGGAATTAGAGGCACTAAGTACTTCTAAAAGCTGAAATGAGGAAGATTGGTTGGAAGTTTAGGTAAGCCATTAGATCCCAAAAGTCCTCTGTAGCTTGAGCACCTGGGTGACTACCCCCTCCCACCCCAGCAGAAGAGAAGAATGAACTCTGGAGAGGCTAAATCAGAGAGGTTTTAGGTTCAGAAACACCTGTGCAGGTGACGATGTGGATTAAGCAATGAATGAAAAATAGAAAGACTAAGTGAAAGTCTACATACTGAACAGTGAGAACCCTATCCTACTTCCTTTTCTTTGTTCATAGAATGCTGACAGAGTTATACCCCCAGGCAGAAAATTAGATCATTCCTTTCTGGTGAAACTTATCAGCACAAAAGAAAAGACCTGCAGATACTGACCCTTGTGGGTCCTTTAGTGAAAGAGCTGCAAACCTACCTGACTGTTCTTCAGTGAGGTCCACTGGCTGACAAGTTGTGCTGATGTACACAGAGAGCTCCAAGTATGCTTACTATGTCCCTTAAAGAGGAGCAGACAGTAAAGAATGGCCAGACATTTGATGAAGGCCTCTAACATGAAAGACCAAAAAGAAATGGCACTCAAAGAAAGTGTAGGGATAGTTGAAAACCCTCAAAAAATTACCATCAGTCTCCTCAGAGAAATAAGAGAAGTAATAGCATCTATAACGTAGGAACAGAATGCTGTAATAAGGAAGATTTGAAAAACAGGAAGAACTCTTGGGAATTTCAAAATATATTAACAGAAACAAAAAGGTCATTGGAAAAGCTGAAAGATAAAGTTGAGTAACACTCTCCTGGTAAGCAGAACAGAAAGCAAAGAGGTGGACAATAGGAGACAAATGATACGGAAAGAAAATTATGAAGGAGATAATGCAAGAAAACTCTTCAGAGCTGAAGAACATGGGTTTACAGATTGAAAGGGCCCACTGAGTTCTAGCACAATGAATTAGAGTAGGAGGAACCCAAATCAAAACATGTTATCATAAATCCAAATGCTTCCAGAGAATAAAGAAGTTTCATGTAAAGGATTGAGAATTAGAATGATGTCCATTAACACCAAAAGTGATTCCTTAAAAATTCTGAGGGAAAATAATTTTAAAACGTAGTCACAGTGTCAACAGGGTTAAGGGAAGACTAAAGAAATTTTCAGAAATGCAGGATCTCAAAGAATACTTCCCATGCCCATGTGCATAAAGCTGATAGAAGGTGTGGTCTGTCAAAATAAGGAAATAAATCAAGAGAGAAGACAACACAGGAATGAGGAAACCCTTCCCGTGACATCATGTGGTTCATTTTTTGTAATGAAGATTGCTTTTTCCTGGACTATTCAGGCAACAGGATCCTATGAAATATTGGGACTTGGTTATAATATATAGAACAAGATTCAACATGGGAGACATTATAATTATAAAAGGGGAAGGTACAGGATGACAACTGTGCATCAGGCTTAGAGAGCGACCATCAGATTGGCAGGAGGACAGTGGGCTTAAAGAGGATGTCTCTAAGGAAAAAACAAAAATGTGGAATGGATTGGTTACTTGATGAGTTTGACTGCATTCAGAGGTAGTTAGTTCATTAACTTTGTTACACATTTGAGGCTGAATTAGTAATAGGTACCTAAAAAGTGAAGAAAAAGATGAGGCAAAGCAAAAAAAAAAAAAAAAAAAAGGGGGGACATCTAAGAATACACTTTGTGGCTCACAAAATATCATTATAACAATGATCCCATTGTTATAATAAAGTCAACCCTAAATATTACTTTGTTACACATTTGAGGCTGAATTAGTAATAGGTACCTAAAAAGTGAAGAAAAAGATGAGGCAAAGCGAAAAAAAAAAAAAAAAAAGTGAGGACATCTAAGAATACACTTTGTGGCTCACAAAATATCATTATAACAATGATCCCATTGTTATAATAAAGTCAACCCTAAATATTTCACCACGAATTATAACCAGATTGGTAGGATGGGGGAAGGAAGGGATTTGTGAAGGAACCAAAGTGGAAAGGGAAGTATAAGAGAGACTAAATCCTCATCTGCCGTAGTAGGAAGTCATGAGATAAATGTCTAAAATTAAAAATGAACAAATAGCAGTATAAGCTGTTATTTAGTATAAGCATGTTATTTAGAAATATAGAATTCATTGTCAGAAGAAACAGCTAAAGAAGTTGAAAAGAGTTCCTAGTAGAGAGAAGGATCTGGGAGTGGGGCTAGGGACTACTACTTTATTATAATTTGATCCAATTTTTATTTTTAAAAATATAGTCATGCACTGCATATCAATATTTCGGTTAAAAATAGATGGCATATACAATGTTGGTCCCGTAAGATTGTAATGGCTATACCATATTGCCTCAGTGTGTAGTAGACTATACCATTTGGGTTAGTGTAATTATATTCTGATATTTGCACAACAATGAAATTGCCTAACAATGCATTTTTCTAAATGTATCCCCATCGTTAAGGATTCATGACTGTACACATATTATAAAATGTCTGGAGGAGGGATTGGGGAGATGTTGGTCAAAGTATACAAAATTTCAGAGACAGGAGAAATAAGTTCAAGAGATCTCTTGTACAACATGGTGACTAGTTAACATTGTACTGAATTCTTGAAAACTTTAATAGAATAGATTTTAAGTGTTTCATCACAAAAAATGAAAAGTGTGTGAGGTAACGCATATCTTAATTAGCCCAATTTAGTCATTCCACAATGCATACATATTTCAAAACATGTTATATAGGATTAATATATGCAATTTTTCTATTTGTCAATTTAAGAAATGAATAATAAAATAATATATGTAAGTAAAAAATGTCTGGAAGGCTATATACCAGTATACGAACATTATAACTCAGAACGATGTAATTAGGGTTGATATTTCTTTTCTTCTTTTTGTTTGTATTTTCTAATTTTTTTCTATAGTGTATTTCACTTTCTGGGTAATGATAATATTTAAAAATGTATTTTTAGCAAATGTTTGTGTTATATCCACAACATGATCTATGCATTTTTGCAGAGAGATTTATTCTTTAACTCATAATTAGTTTGTTCTTGAAATATATATATTATTATTTTAATTAGGGCTTAAAATATTTAAATATTTCTAAGGAGGATTACTTTTGGACTCTATAGTGGACTTTTAAAATAGGAACTCCCATAGATTAAGCATATTAAACTATAATTCATTTATTTTACTGAAGAATAAAATAATAAAGATTTAATAATTTCGTAATGTTAACTATCAGATATTGGTAAGAATATTTGATTTGATCTTCTGACAATCAATCCCATTCTGTGACAGCATGTGGTTCACTTTGTGGATTTCATTTTCCTGGAAGATTTAGGCAACAAGATCCCATGAAATATTGGGACTGGCAGTGTTTTACAGTACATAAGCCAAGAGACTGGAGTTAATTAACTGATAATGGTCTTGGAAATTGTAAAAAACATCTCCAAGTTCCATTGAGACATTGAGAGTGTATGGCTTGCTACTATGTAACTGTGTGTTATTTATCTAGGCTCTTGTTCTTTTTTTTTTTTTTTTCCTTTTTGTCTTTTTTCGTGTCCGGCAATGGATCGCAACCCTCAGTGTCGCGCCCATACCGGACCGGACCAGCAACGGGATCGCAACCCTCGGTGTTGCCCCCACACCTCGCTCAGCCAGTGAGCAGGAACCGGTCTGTATGAGGGATCCGAACCCTCGGCGGGAGCGCTGCCACACTCCTCAGCGGCGCACTGCTACAGTGCGCCACCGGGCCGGCCCTAGGCTCTTGTTCTGAAGATCGGCTTTCAGTGGCTAAAACTCATCATTTTAATTTACCAGTGATAAGACACAACTATAGTTAGTTTTAACACAATAAAAATCTTCCTTTTAATGCTTTGTTTATTTGAAATATGAAAATATACTCTTTTTAAAATTATTTTTTTTGATTATTAAAGTAATAGATGACATGGTATAAAAAATTACTAAGCACAGAAGGATATAAAGTGACCATCAGTCTCCTGTCAGTCTCACCCTCTAGAAACAGAAATGGTTAATGATATCTGTTCTTCCAGACATTTTAATGCATTTAAAGCTTTATATGCTTTTTCTTTTCCAAATAAAATATCTTGGAGATCAGAATAATGAAATTTGGGGCTATAGCTTATACCATTTTTTATTTTCAACATTTTGCTGTTGATATTTTTACTTTAAATATTTTTCTTTTTGCTCTGTTTTTAAAATGTGTAAATATTTTAAAGAGTCTAAACAGTAGGGGTATCTGTATGTATAGAATAACTTCAAGAACATTTCCTTTCCTCTTGCCTAAATTACATAATTTTATGTCTTTCAGCATTGGGGGCCTTATTCTGGACACAACTGTATCTGACCCAAACTTGGTTGGGATTGTTGTTTATACACCAGTTATTAATGGTAAGAATTGGATATAGTATTTCACGATGATAGCAAATCTTTTTTTTTTTCTTTCTTTCTTTTTTTTTTTTTTCCCTAGAAGCTGGCCAGTGCAGGGATCAAACTGAGAGCAAATCTTTATATACTCTTAGAAACTAATAAGAATCTTAGGACTAGGATTTTTTTTTTTTTTTTTTTTTTTTTTTTTTTTTTTTTTTTTTTTTTT